CTAAACAAATATAAAATATTGACAGTGCCCTTCCTGCTTAGACTCTGCGGCCTTTCTGTAAGGTTTCATGGGTGCATAGATACTGCAGTTTCTGACCGAGCCAGATTGCACTCGACTCTTGCATCTTGCGCAAAACTGCAATGTCACACCTTCATTCGCCTGCAGCCAAACAGCCACTAGCAAGAAGTCACTGAGAGTTAATTGGTAGGAATAAATGATTTTTGCCTCATGTACTGAGCAGATTATGGCAAGGATTTTAACAGCGAGCTAAACCCTGATAAATCACAGCCAATAGCAAGTAACAACGCACATTTAATGGCCAGGCATAATGTATTATCTTCGACATAAATGGTGTAATCAGGGAATTGAAATCAGATAATTGAAAAAGTAGCTATACGCACTGGTACTGGTACTGGCAAAATCCCCGGTGTCTTGAACCCTAAGGCATCATTAAAGTTAAAGAATCGTGGTCACCGAAGATGGCAGTTTAATTTGAAATCCTCCACTCATGTATTGCTCAGCTCTCATCGCCTTTCCACAAAATAACAGCTGTTGTATGTGGTAATAATGAAATTAGTGAAGTCGTGGCAGTGGAGTGAAAGATGATCTGTGTGATGGAGATCAGTGCCTCTGTCACCCTCAGCAGGAAGAGCTTCCTGCATTCTCCTCTCCCATCTCAAGTGCTGGTCACCCGCACTGGCACATGGGGGGATGATGCTGGCAGTGGTGGGATCCTGGCAGGAGGCAGTGTCTCTGCGGGAGGTAAATCGAGGGATCCAGGGACTTTTCAAGGATGTCTCCAAAAATCATTAAAGCTCTGCCTGTAATGGGCCTAAAGACTAAGAGCCCATATGGAGTCAAGCCAGCGGTACAAGGCTGATACTCGGCTCTGAATCCCTTACTTTCCTGAGAGTATGACTGGGCTGAATAGCAGATTAACCCATAGAAGCTTCACCCTCTATTCCACATGCATTCTGCTGTGTATCAGATGCATACAGCAAGCCGATATGGAAAATCCGCTGCCAGGATCAAAGTGCGTAGCCAGCCTCCAGCACTGGAAAGAGATGGAGAAACGGTCTTCTTTGAGACTTCAAAGATTAAAGAGATTCGACTTAAACCACAAGGATTTTATGGAGCTCATACACCCGGTGTTTGAGGGAGTTCTGACTGATCCTAATCCACAGGCAATCAAACTCAAAAACAATACAAAGGAAAATGAGCAAACTGTCTAACGAATGCCATGGTGTCAGAATAATGAGGGGATGAAAGCTGTGCTTATGATCCTAAAAGCACAGAGAAAAATGCAGCTTGCTAGGTGTCGCGGAAAAACCCTGATATATCATGGCCAGCGAGATGGGAGTCTCTGGTACCGTCATTTTGGGGGTCATGGGCAAACTGGAGGGTCCTCATGAAGTCTAACACCATGCAGTTACTCCATAGATTGTCTCTAAAATGCCCAGCGTATGAGTGTTTTGTGCCTGTTAATGTGTGGGTGTGCATTATGAAGTAATAGTAATGGTACCCAAGAGTAACTCTCGTTACAGTATGGGGATTCCCCACTGTCTTTATCACTCACAGTGTTTTAAGGGGACCAGTAATGATGCAAAAAAGAGTAACTCTCGTTACAGTATGGGGATTCCCCACTGTCTTTATCACTATGCTTTAAGGGTGGTACTACTACTACTACTACTACTACTACTACTACTACTACTGATAATAATAATAATAATGATTATTATTATTATAACTCCCCCATGGGGAAATTCTCTTTACGGCTCCCCCACTTTCTCTCTGTAGGTGAGAGCGAGCTGGCTGTGAAGGGAAGCCCCACCCATAGCAGCACCCAGGGAGCTGGGGGGTCAAGGGCCTCGATCAGGGACCTGCAGATATGCTGAGGCTGGGCTCAAACCTGCAACCTTCCGATCACAGGCAAAGAGGCTTAGCCCCCTGGAAACCTAAAATCCATTTTTGTTTCCTCCCAGCTCCCAGTAAATATATGGAACTGAGAGGGAGCAAAAACATGGACTGTCCGGGGGGGTCCCCGAGGGCTGGGTTGGGAGACACTGTTATAATACATTAGAGTATTCAAAGGAGGACAGTCTTGCAATGAAGTTAGACCAGAGGTGCTTCTAGAAAGAATATGATTTGGCAGGAGAACAGTACTTTGAGTCGCACTTTAAATCCTGGTCAGGTATGCCGTGATCAGTGTCCCAGCACAAATCTTCATTGACCGGCGCTCGCTGTCCTTTTTCCCCAATCCATAAACTTTCAAAGTCAAAGACAGTTTCAGAGCAGTGACCCGGGAAGGAGGAAGCGAACACGAAGGCACGGAGATCTTAGCATATGCAGAGACATGAAATACACCAGCACATGGGGGGGGGGGCGTAACCATATCACCATGTGTGGGGAGGGAAAGACTTCTAAGGCAGGTGCTGCCTTTACACTAACATAGCATCTCCGCTTCTGCTGATACAGTCCCTTATAGCATGACCAGTTAACAGATCAATGAATGAATGAATAAATATACATATATACCGGTAAATATCCAGTTTCATATATGTTACTGCCCCCAACCTTATACCCTGTGCTGCTAGGATAGGCTACAAGCTCGTCCTGGAACTGAGGCCAGATTAGAACATTGGGTAACACTACTTAAGGGGGCACTAATAATGCAGTAATACACTCTTAGTTTCTGGTTAATTAATACATTAAGTAAGTGTTGATTACGTACTGGTCCATTCATCATTAATCAACCATCATGGTTGATTAATTTCTTGCAGAACTATATTAGTTAACAGTTAACTAATTAGTTAAACTAATATAGTTCCTGTATGGAATACATGAACTGTCATAATTAATTAATGATGAACTAACACTTAGTTAATGGTTACTTAATGCCTTAAGTAAGCGTGCACTACTACATTTGTGTCCCCTCAGGTGAAGAATGAGTAAAGTGTTACCATTTCAAATTTGTTCATTAGGTCATAATTTGTTCTTGAGGAGCAATTGAGTAAGTAACTAAGTTATTTGTGCTACCTCAAGTAAAGTGTTACCGGACGGCGGACGTTGAAAGATGAGTTAGAGGATAAAACGGGATGCAGAAACATTGTAACACTTTGTAAGACAGTTTTCCAAACGGATAGAGAATAATTAATTGTTGCTGAAAATATCCAAGTTAGGGAATGCATTTAAATATAGTTATGTCAGAATAAGACCAAAACCCAAAATGTTTTGTCAGGGAATTCTCCATGCCTTCCGAAGAGTTTTAATAAAGCTGTTTAGGATGGAACGTGATCGAGCTATTGATTTTGGTTAGTATGCAGCAAGGAATTCCGGTCACGGACAAAAACTAATTCAATAATTGTGTGGATATTGATGTGTAAATTTGATTTATATGTTGTTATATGAATTTCACAGTCGTGTTAGCACGTCCGGCCACTTATTCTCCCCGAATAGTAACAGCTTAATGCAGCGTTATTGATGATGTTTAACTCATCCTATGCGTGTTAAGCATAGAGAACAAAATGCATTGCTGTACCAGGGCTAGGTAATTAACAGATTGATGACTTAATAATAATAATAATAATAATAATAATAATAAAAATAATAATAATAATAACAAAGAATTAAACAATTCTCGGTGAGAGTTGAATTCCAGTGTTTCTGGAAATCCTTTATCAAACAGGAATGCTCTGTTCTTGTCACACATTACAGAAGAGATGCAAACAGTGTTTCACCATTCACGGTCCAGCTGACGGAGGATTAGTCAGAGGGACATCTGGGGGTGTGTGTGCGTGTGTGCGGGGGGGAGACGTGCTGTAACATGGGCCGGCCATGTCAGTCACTGCCAGCGCTGGGGCAGGGTCCCAAAAACTGGGGCACTCAGGGCAGGGGGGCTTGGTCTGTCACTCCTGGCTGTCTTCACCCTTAATAAAGGCAGGCAGATTGCAGTGCAGCCCGTAATACTGACGTGAAGCCTTAGTGTAACAAACCCCGCCCCTCCTGATTCCTCATTTCCTGCTGTCTGACACGTTTTTTCTCTTCTTTTCCAATTGAATGTTGGATGCTTATTCTGAGAGCGACTCATTCCTATGTGTTTGTGAAGTATCACGAACTCTATGGATTACTCATTTTTTTAATTTGAAAAACTTTGTCTTCAGTTGAGACGCCGATGTTTAATAATTAACGTCACATGAACGCATTAGAGAAGCAGAGGAACTGCAATATGAAATAAGTCATCAAAAGTTTTAATTTTAAGAAGTAGGAGGAGGTCTTCCGCAAGATACAAAACCATCAATTTCATACTGGGGGGGGTGGAGGTATGAGCCAACACTGCAGCCCACTGAGCCAACAACAAGATCTTTTCTATTTCTTATATAATATTCTGGCATCCATGTCATGTAATGTAAAGCAAAGTATTTTGTTCTGTGCTGCTTGGACAAGCTTCAAGTCCACCTGGACCCAGACCGGGTTAGAAAATGGATGGATTTGTGAATGTATTCATGCTTGGGTATATTAAATAACAACTTAATAAAATAAAGGGAATCGTAGCCAAACATATTTCATATTTCCAATGCAGGCAGTCCTCAAGTTAAGAATGTCTGACTTAAGAATAACTCGTACTTACAAACGGAATGTGATAAAGCCTATTATATTACAAATATGGGTTAAATACAATGGTTCATAATAACGAACACGGACTACTTTATGACGCTTGTGAAAACATTGCGCGGCTTCAGCCGTTCGTCAGCTCGAGGTGCAGTATAGCTTCATATTTAGTTACTTTAATTATTACTGTATAACCATTAATAATATTGTTGTTATTATTATTATGTATTGTACGTATTCTTCTTTTTCTGACTTACTTAGAAATCCAACATAAAGACAGACCTAGGGAACGGAACTTCTGTTCGTAACTTTGGGGATACCTGTATCTTAAACAAAGGCAGTGATGACTGTAAGGTGTTGACTGGTCCTCCGGCTGTCCCGTTGCCCGGCAGATTCGCTGCAGGGTGAGTACCAGCGGAAGCTCTACAAGGAAATGATGGAGAATTACAATCGGCTGGAGCGTCCGGTTCTCAACGACTCCTCGGCCATCGTGGTGGAGCTGGGCATGACGCTGCTGCAAATCATCGACGTGGTGAGTCCTCACATCACAGCCCCCCGGGGCCAGTCGATCATGCCTGTCTGTTCTTCTGTTAGCATCTGACTCGACACTTATGGGCAGTAAGCTGAATAATAAAACCAGGAAGTACGATAAATATGTGCTGGCATGAAGACCTTGAGCTTGGTTGGTGGATGGATGGATGGATAAGTCATCTAGTAAGTGCATTCTCAGAAGAAGCAAGTACATGCTATTATGTGTATAAATAAACATTTTCTGTTTTCCTTTGTGTAAATATTCATTAAAACTCCTTACTCAGAGACAAGACTCATCATCGTCAGATGACTAGCGCCCCGCCCAGTTGCCTGTTTTCTAGATGAAACAATTTCTAGATCCTTTCGGTGGAATCACATGTATATGAGGATTCGGAAACGATCGTCATGGTTTAATATCCTGGCACATTTTATTCCAAGACACTTTACTAGGGTTTAATTATTCCACAGAAACGTCATTACAGAAAATGCAAAAACTGGAGATATGTGGGAAATATTGCTTCAGTTCAAGAAACCTGTTTAAGGGAGTAACGACTATGGTCAGAAATCCAATATTTTAGGCACTATGATACTGAACAGAGAGGAGATGGGAAAGTGGGTAGGGAAAGAAAGTGCAGTTTATATAGTATAATCCCGTTATAACGGAATATCGTCTGTAATGGACGAGGTCCGCTGGTCCCGGGCGTGAGCCTTTAAGAACATGCAGAAAAAGCATCGGATATAGCGGACTCGCATATAATGGAATTTCGCTTATAGCGGACAAACAGTTTGGCCCCCAGGGCCGCTTTTAGCTGCAGTTCTGTTCGGCTATAATGGACATGCAGGCTCTACTAAACAAGGCGCCTGGCGTGCAGCTGATATCCAGCGCAGATACGTAGTCGGGATTATTAATAGTCACGGTCATTAAATAGGCATGGCGTTACAGAAGGCAACACTGATTGGTCTATGTAGCTGTCCATCACCAGGCACTCTGTGCGTCGGCAGACGACGCTCGCAGCTGGAGGGATGCAGTAAGCAATGAGGTCAAGGTTACTACTGTACCGTACATGTATAACCACTTATAGGCCATATATACTTCCAACAGTCTGGTAAAGTTTGATTACTACATGTACAATATAATAATCTATACCACAAGTGTGTCTGCTGGGGTGTGGCATGAGTAAATGGTGTCCTGTAGTTGTGTTCTGTGTATAACAGCAACTCTGGATATAACGGACTTTGGATGTAACGGACTGATTTGCCAGATCCCTTAAAGTCTGTTATAACGGGATTGTACTGTATGAAGAAAGAGTATATATACCAGGAATCAGCCCCAGAATCCTCCATAATCCAGTGCAGGATAAGAGGCAGGGAGGCGGCTAGATGGATGCACACCATGAGATTTTGCAGATATTTTTAGGACTTATTAAAAAGAAAAAAAAAAAAGCTCTTTATTCATAACTGAAACACAGGTTGCACAGTAAACTGCATCGGGCTCTTTGCACTTACTGTCTTAAAAGAAATACCATCCAGTCTCTAGTGGCCCTTGATACGCGTTTCAGGCTTACTTTTCTGTGTATGTTCATGGCTTAATTCACACAAGGCTGTTAGCACACTCTGGATTTGACCGGATAATTGGATGATGTCAAGAGTGTGTGTAATTCTTTGATAAATCAATACAGTTCTGACTTTCAGATAGCTGGTGCGATGTATCACCCTAATCCCTTAGTAATGAAGTTTCTCACCATCTGCCCCCTAGCAAAGTAAGTTCAGATGTAATTTGTCTTTTGGATGATCTTCAGTCAATGCTGCTCTCCGAGCTGAACGCTGGCTGTCTCAACACCCATGTGGAGCTTCATGTCACTGAGGACAGATTCTAGGATTAATTAAGGTGGGGTAAGAGGATCCATAATTCAGACAGAGGGGCCAACCAGTGACAGTGGAGGAAGTACTCTGGCGGCCAATCAGCTTTCAGCTGTGGCCAGGCCCCTGTACACCCCCCTGCTGCCAGTGTGTATCTAAATGTCCAATTTAAAGAACATTGTTTAATTCATTCATGATTTATAAATTCATTTATGACCTAAGCTACAAAATACTTGAAACTATGAAAAATTCTGATTGCTTTCTGAGTCCTTGGTCGATGTTTCATGCTTAGATCAATGTCACATTTTCTTAATAATAATGAGCATGTAATCCTTCTGGACATTTTTTATCGTATGTGGCTTTAAAATCTGGAAGCTAGGGCATTTAACAAATGAAGAGAAGTTCGAAAACAGAAACACAGTCTGGGTCTAGGTTTAAAGATGGTCAAGCCTTGAGGAAGGCCTGCAGGTCTGCCTCTCTGAGGTTAATCACGGGTGGGAGGAAGGCCTGCAGGTCTGCCTCTCTGAGGTTAATCACGGGTGGGAGGAAGGCCTGCAGGTCTGCCTCTCTGAGGTTAATCACGCATTGGA